CCTGGCTCTGCCTCCCGAGTGCTGGGATTAAAGGCGTGCGCCACCACCGCCCGGCAAGACTTTTTTTTTGAAGTGAAAAGTTCTTAGCTTTTCTTCTCTAAAGATGTCTTCATTTCACTTCTATTCTTGAGGGGTAGCTTGCAAGGTCATAGTCACAGACTTACAATCATTTTATTTCAGTATGTTCAAGACAGTCCTGCACTGGCTTCTGTTCTTGGGTATTTCTGGTGGCGAGCCAGTGATGGTGTGAATCTTTGGTGTGGTCTTTTCTTCTGGCTGCTGTTCAGGCTTTTTAGTTTTTGGTAGTTTATGAGATACTGAGGTGATATTTTCTTCATAATTTTGGTATGCTAAGTTTACCGAGCTTCTCAAATGCTGGTGGCCTTGTCAGAGGAGCTGCAGGTGGCAATTGAAGTTCAAGATGTCAGCCCACCAGGAGGAAACTCCCTGATGGGTCAATCTCAGACAGGTAAGTCCCTGAGACCACAGACTTTGGAATATCTTTTGCTTCTGTTATGCCTTTACATGTTTGCTGCTGCTATTTTTTCCTGGTATCTGTCGTGGTGTGATGGGGTGTGGTGAGATCCCCACTGTCTGTAATGTAGTGTGTTTATCTCATGGAAACCTCCCATTCTACTGGGCATTTTTACCAGTGGATTGTTGTGAAGATGATTCTGCCCTAAGCTGTACTGTCTAATTGATAATAATAATATTAGCTTATACAGAGTTTTGATAAATAAAAGTAAATACAAAGAAATGTTATACAGCTAGAATCTATGAGTTTTACCTAAGGAGTTGCATAGATTGCACGTCAGGTGAATGATTTAGAAAAACAGTTGAGTCCCAGTTAGCCCAGGTATCTTAAATTCTTTCAACCTTAATGTTGGGAGATGTGTTCACAGGTTTCAGAGTGCATAATAGCTGAAACAAAGCTTTTAAAATATCTTAAAGTTAGACTAAGGTGTTTTTGTCAAATAGCTTTGAGGTGAAAAACCCAAGAAGATAATCTAAAGTTTTAGAAAGGCACATAATTGAATGCAGAACTCTTTAAATCAAGGAACAAGAACAAAGCAGCCTAATTATTACTAGCTGACACACTTTTCTTACTAAGATTGGTTGATGACCAAAGGTGATGATTAACACCTAATACCCTTTTCTGCTCTTAATCTCCTGATATAAGAAACAACTGATGAATGGGTGTGCAACCTAAAGATTCAAAGTACAGCTGACTAAGTGTTTTTTATGTATAAAAGTTTAGTTTTGTGATCCCTTTAAGATTCCTTATAAGATTACCTTTCAAATAAGTAATAAAATGGTTGATTCTTTCTTTGTAACCGCAGCATTCAGCCTGCCAACGAAAGAGTTGGCTGAGAAAAAAAAAAGTGTTGCTTGCTTGCTTATGTTCTGTTAATCTGTAACAAGTTACTTAGATGTAAATGCATGTGGGTTATCAGGGTGACTTTGTTTTTAATCATGTAAAGGAGATGAAAAATATGTCTTTACCTGTACTCGTTATAATCATTCATTTGAAAAATAGAATGTAACCACATGTGATTCCTGTATTGCCTGAAAGATTTTGTTGGGATATATAAGCTGAGGAAGAAAGTATACAGTAGAAGAAAATGAGAAGAATAGAAAAGAATAAAGAAGGAAACCACCAAGAGAGTATATGAGTGTCTTTTCCCCTAACCCCCTCAGATAGAAAAGTCTAGTACCTCCTGACACTATGGATTTCCCTTTGAGGCCTGAGCTGTCTGGAGGCTGGCCCTCCAGGCAGTGATACTCAAATATATAATTTTTTTTCTTTCAGGAAATGTGAGGAACCCCTCTTTTTTACTTTGATATATATTCTCTGCTTTTTCCTTCCTACAAGGCTAATTACATGTATGGTAGACAAGTTGGTATCATCTCTTTGTTTTTCCATGTCTTTTTCAGAATGGATATTTCTCAATTAAATCCAATCAATTGGATAGTTCTCAATTAAATAAAAAGATAAATAAAATTTATGTAACTAAAATTATATAAATAAGTGTAAATAAGTGTAGCTAAACCACTAAGTAATGAATTTAAATTGAATTTTAAATGGAAAAAATCAGACTATGCTGGCACACTAACTGGTGTTGTTATTATGCAAGTCTTGTTTAGGCAACCATATTGTTGAGATTTGAAGGGTGCTGCTTACATCTAGAAGACATTATCTAGCAGCAGGCATCCTAGTACTCTGGCTCTTGAAGTTTTCCTACCCTCTCTGCTGTGATTTTTCTCCTGGGCCTTAGGTATGAGGGTTGCATTATAGATCTCTTTTTTGGGCCTAGGCACTCACATTAACTTATTCTCTGCATTTTGACCAGGAGTAGATCTCTCTAATTGTCTCAATCCATTGCAAAAAGAAGCTTCTTTGATAAGGAATGTTAATTCTAACTTCTGGGACATTTGTGTTTGATCTCTGTTGATTATCATTATCTTGTCTTTGGGGAATGGTTCACCTTTTCCCATTTCTTTGTATGTTATGAATTGTGTCTTGGACAATGTTACTATGTTGTGTAGGCTGAGGAGTCTATATTTTCTTATGAAATATGTTAGATTTTGATCTGAAAGCATTTCAGCTTCATTGGCAGCTCTGCAAGTTTCTGTTTAGTTCTGTTATTCTTACCACTTAATGAATTTCCCCCTGTGTACATAATATAAATATTAGGCCAGGATCTGCATAGCATTTATGTAGAATCTGTGGCTTCCTACACTTGCCACTTAGTATTTCCTTTTGAGACTCCTCCACATGGGAAGTATGGTTAAGTGAACTCTATTTCTCTAGTTTTTTTTTTTTTTTTTCAAGACAGAAAAGATTGTGGGCTACCAAGAGGAGCCTTGGATATTTTGTTGTATTAGCTGTGACATGTTCTTTGAGTTAAATCTGTTAAAACAATAACAGTGAAGCTTGTTGTTCTCTTCATATCTTTCTAGAATCTCTTTCTGTCCCCCCCCAGTAATCAGCTACTTATTTTATCAAGCGTTGCCTAGTGCATATAGTTGGCTGCAGATGGCTGGTTCAGGGCAGCTCATATAACTGTACTCAAAAGATCCCATTATATCATACTGGAATGGCTCACATTCACAGGCAATACCAATAAAATATATGCATACATTTTAAAAGATGTAATTTTATCGAGAAAGTACAAATGATTCATATCTAAACTATAATACATACATGTCACAGTCTAGTGAAGACCACTAGAATCAGAATACGCACCTATACATTATTAAATCCCATATGTGTAATGAAAATACCAGTGATAAATTAAATTAATGTTAAACTGTTAATACCAGTAAATGGTAGTTATAAAGCAAGGCAGCAGAGTAAATGCATGATCAACCTAAGACAATGAGAGTAATGCAATGCAACTCAGTGTTCTTTGCAAACCTTAAAGTTCAAATGTTCTAATTATCTTTCTGAACCATGGTAGACATCACATAACATGGACCCTTCTTAGAAATGGAATTCGTATCCTGGACAGATGCTATTATAAAGTGTTAATTTTGTCATATTTTAATTAAAATTAAGCCAGGCAGTAATGGTGCACACCTTTAATCTCAATGCTCACAAGGCAGAGGCAGATGGATCTCTGAGTTTGAGGCCAGCCTGGACCATAGAGTGAGTTCTAGGAAGCCAGGAATACATAGACAAAGCCCATCTCAGAAAAAAAAATGAAAAGTTACATTGTAGATATTTATTGATAAAGCAGGACAAGCCTTAACAGAGGAGAAAGCACAGATGAGCTTTGAAATCAGTTGTGCATTTGAGTCCAACATCACATCACCATGCAACTGTGTGAAATCAACTAATAATCCCAGTTTCTTTAGCTCACTTTTCATCTGGGATATGGGGTTGCTACTAAGTCTACCTGTATCAGGAGTTGTTCCCAAGACTGAGTGAAAGAATGTATGGCGCCATTATATTGAAGCAAGAGGCTACCTTAGTCTTGCTTGCTTGCAGGGATGTGGTAGGCATTTGGCATAGTGTGTGACATGTAGTAAGTGCTGGATAAGCAATGACATAGGTTAGCATATGAGACATAAAATTTTCACCACAAGGCATTTTTTTTTCCTTTTCCTGTGTCACCAACTCATGATGTAGGAGGAAGGATATATAGTACTTGGGAAAGCACCAGTAGAACTCTCTTGTTAGACATTGAAAGAAGCTGCGTAGCATTCAAAATTTAGGACAGAAGACAGCTGGCAATCAATAGTAGAAAGAATATGGCTCTAGATCTATGAGGCTGGCTTCAGGCAACATTGTGATAAATCTCAATTAGTATTATTATTACTATAGTACATTGAATGAGCATATTTTACATTTTGTAAAGTTTGTTGTAAAGTTATGATTTTGCTTGTATTTTTAGGATGGGCTCAAAGTAAAGCTGTAGACATTTCATGGACACTAATAATGTATACACATCATGCATGTCTGTCTATAGATATGAATTTGTTTCTGTTTGGCTGCTAGTCCTATGAATTATGCAAAGAGCTAAATAAAGTCAGAGATCTTGAAATTGTTTGACTCCATAGCTTGATGATTTTGAGAATCAGTTGTCTTGTCTTGACACTTAGTCCTCACTATGGACTGTAAAATCCTGAAGAAAACAGTTTCTCTGTGCCTTCATTTCTTTATCTGCAAACTTTGGATGGTGGTATATAGTTTTGAGTTGTTTGTTTACTTATGATGTATTTATTATCACTGTACTTAAAGCAGTTTATATTCTGGAAGCTTGGGATACAAGATGGAAACTGTTGTAAGGTTGAAAGGAGTTAATGACTATGAAACTCATATTAGTATCTGTCATAAAAATCAATCATAAGAGGTTTTGACCTTAAAAATGATCAATGGTATTTTCTGTGGCTTAACTTAGCCCAGATTTTAGCATGTGAGAATGGAGCTATTATAATTTAAAAAAACTATTTTTTTCTTCCTAGTCTTGGCTTTTGAGACTATGGATTTGCCAAAGACTCTAGTGAACTGATTTCCAGTTCAGAAGAGATCAATTTGACTCAGTAAATTCCATCCCTCAGGCTTGATTTTTCTTACTTATAAATGGTGAAAATCTGTCAGAGAATGTGATTTCCAAGGTGATGGGATATGTAAGGGAGTGGGACAAATACTGATTTAATATCATTCCTATTATATCACATACAGCAAGATTTAATGACTTGTAATGATTTTACTGAGGTATTCCTAAAAATGAAATGATAGGCCTCAAGACTTGCCAGGTGGAGGGCCTTTAGCAATAGGGCTTTTTGAAGATGTAGATTATAGAGAGCCATACATATTCATGGAAAATGATTAAACATGCATTGTGAGCTAAACAGAAGTGTACCCAGTCTTGAAGATTCTCATCATTCCTCATTGAAGAATGTGGTGAACTGAGTAGGAATGTGCTGGAAAGGTAGGGATGTCACAAACTAGGTGACCTTCTTCAACAAATTGATCTACCCATCTATTTTTCAAGGCATTTCCATAGAGCAGAAATGAAATCAACATTTTGGGTTTCTGGTTCAAAACAAACACTGACATTTCTTTAAAAATTAATATGCAAATACAAAAGAAGTATTTGCTAGTTTACTGCTAGACTGAGGATTTATAGGTTTATTCTAGAATCCATCAATGACCTTCAATGTATTTCTGAAGTCCTATGTAATCTCTTGATTACAAGCATTCTACTGAAATTCAGTCCTCAAATTGTCTAGTCTGATAGCTCAAAAGACCAGAGTTGGTATGGTTGGGAGGGCCTAGTATTATAGGATGTTTCTGACTCAAAGCTGAAAATCTTGGTATCTTAAGCCATGTGCACAAGTTACATGCAGGAAGTTGAGTGTGATAAGTAAAAGAGGACTCAGTGTACCTGGCAATTGAAATAGGGCTTCAGGTCTGGGAGAACTGTGGAGACCAATGGCCATCAGCAGTTTATGAGAAGGATAGGCATAGCCAGGTTGATATGACAGACATGTGGTTCATGGATCTATTTGAATTTAGTGTCTGGGAAGGAGAACTACATCAAATGGACACAGTGATGCTTATTTAAGGAACATCCCATTAACTATTCTTCTATCTTTCCTAAAAGCCAAATTGGGATCTGTGATTCCTCTGATGTCTTTTTTTTAAATTAGTTTCCCAATGATGTGATGAGTATATTTACAGATAATAACTTTGCTATCATCTACCTACTGTGTATTTGTATAAGCAACAGCAATGAAGACTGACCATAGAGAACAGAGTTGTGGTAGACACCAGTGAAGAATGCCGTAGGCATGACAGTCTGTGCTTTGTGTGCTAGATAGCAAAATCTTTCCATTCTTGCATGAAAAACAGTATCTACATCCTATGTAGGGTAGCTTTGGCTGATTGAATGCAAATTGGCCATTGAAGTCAAAATGAATGGGAGTGAAAGCTTTGCAGGATAAAGGAGTAGCTTCTAACTCTAGGTAGGTATTGGAAAGGCCAGTGTTTGAACACACATGCCACATACCTCTCAATGAGTTACTTTCTTTTGAGGTAAAGGACCCCCAAATTTGTAGTTTCTTTCTTCCTAGTTTGATTCTGAAGCTCAGAAAAACTTCAGAGTTTCTGAGAGATAGGACATTGATACAGTTTCTCCTTTTGGGTTTTTCCAAGTGCAGTATCTATACCAGTACAGGGGAGAGCGAAAGAAAGGTTGCATTGAAATGGAGACTCCTGGACTTCATTCTCATTTTGCTGGAACTGAAATTCTAACTAGTGGTCAGGTTATTATTACACCCAAAGAATTTGAGACTATCTCTATTCTATGAATACAAGAGATTTATTATGTTGAATGGACAGTAAATAAGGTAGGAGGAAATGTGACAGAGATAGAAAGGTAACCATCTTACTGGAAACCTGCTGAGCACTAGGTAAAGGGATCAGCAGTTTACAACTATATATGTTATTGTGTGTGTGTGTGTGTGTGTGTGTGTGTGTGTGTGTGTGTGTGTGCTTTCCTTGATAGCCAAGTTGTGAAGCAGGCATAGGAATACTCATTATGGTACCTTTATTACATTATTTGCATTCCTAGAGTTAGAAGAAGTGGAATTAAGATAGGAATGCTTGTATGATTGACATCAAATCCTTATGCTTGTTTAGGTTATACAAATTTCCCGTGACTAGATACTGCCCCATGTACACATAAGAACTAAGCCCTAAATCCTCATGCTGCCATCTTTTCTAAAGAGTTGGCTATGTTTCTAGAACTCAAATCCTTCACTCTTTAGAGCCCAGGTGTTATATAAAGCTATGGGTCTACTTCTGACAGTGCTGTTTCTTCTTAAATAACCAGAAAGAGACATTGGATAACCTATGAAACACTCCTGGTCAACGAGAGCCTGTCATCTGAGAGTCATGCTACTTTACTCTTTGCCAAGTAACTTTTGGAAGGTAATTTAAATAATAATAATAATAATAATAATAATAATAATAATAAAGTATTCCTCATATGTGCTAGCAATCTGAGTAGAAGTCCAGTGAGATGAAGATGCATTGGCATTATTTATAATTTATAATTTTATAATTTAGAATGCTTTCAGTTACTTGCTTCCCAAGTGAGGCTGTATACATTATCACCAACAAAATCTCGAGACTATTCAACAAAACTAGTAAGATGAAAAATGCTCTCCCATTTGCTATGACTTTTTGCCCTCTACATTTCTGGATAAATGATGCTTAACTTCTGGTACCTTCAGTACACAAAGAAAGGCAGATGGCCCTCTTTTAGATGGCTTATCTGTTTATAGTGGAGGACATTATATCCTAGAATAAAAAAGCCTGTGAGAAGTGTAGATGGAAATTTCTCTGGCCCCGCCCTGGCCCTGAAGTCTGGACAAATCTCTCCCACCTGCAATCCCATAGCCACTTATAAAATAATCACTCAGAAGCTTGTATTAATTACAAACTGTATGGCCTATGGCTTCAGCTTCTTGCCATCCAGCTCTTTCATCTTAAATTAACCCATTCCTATTAATCTATATATTGCCACGTGGTCATGACATTACCAGTCTGCTGGCATCTTCCTGTTCCTTTGGTGGCAGGCTCACATTTCTCTTGACTCTGCCCATCTTCTCTCTGTATCTCTGTTGGATTTCCTGCCTGGTTTATGCTTTCTTGCCATAGGCCAAAACAGCTCTATTTATTATCCAGTGGGAGCCACACATATTCACAACATACAGAAAGACATCCCACAGCAGGGAAGCATCAACTGTTGCCTTTGACAGCCCGAAGATTTTCAGTCTCCTTAACCTGTTTGATGAATTTGATTCTCAGATGTCAGTGGTAACTGAACTGTGTCCCAGTACTCTACTCACATGCCCTTCATCCTGGACCTTTGTCACTGTTCAGTTGTGTGGTGCCACTAAGCTTGGCTCCTAAGTTTTCTTATGAACCTTGACTTGTTTACATTTTCATCTCCTGTGTATTAGTTTCTTCATGACACAACCCAGTACTGTCCATGGCCACAGACAGTGTGGAGCACTTCACATGCATTTAGAAAGTGGCTTTTTTTTTTGTTTCTCCCTGTTTCCCCCTATTCCTGACTGCTGGCAGAGAAGACAGAAAAGGTTTTGATAAAGACGAGGATGAGCCTCCATTGATTTTCTAGGAACAATTCTCTTCTTCAGTAACCAAGCATAATTATTAATAATACAATGTTCACCTTCAAAATGGAGCTGTTTGAATCAGTAAATTATGTAATTACTCCATACATCTTATGTTCTGTGCCCTGGGAGTTGGTTTACATTAGCCAATTTCTTCCAGAGTCCAAAGACACAGAATTACATGGCCAATAGAATGTGGCCCTTGGAACTGGAGGCACTTCTCAGTGGGTATTAGCTTGCCATGCAGGCATGAGGATCTGAATATAAATTCCCAGCACAGCAGTGTGTTTGTAATTCTAGTGCTCTTGTGGTGAGAAGGGAGGTAGAGACAGAAAAACTTTGTGTGCTCAGGAGTCAGCTAGCCTGAAGGATACAACAGTAAACAGCGAAGAGACCTTGTCTCAAATTAGGTGAGTGGGAGGTGAGAATTGACATCTGAGGTTGCCCTCTGCCCTTTACAGGCATGTTGTGGCCTATGTTCCTACACATACATACTTACACACACACACACACACACACACACACACACACACACACACACACACACACACCACACATGAATGTTCACACACATCATACATACACACCTATCTTTGATTAATTTCCATGTATTGTGAAGCTTTAAAAATATAAAAATCATATAAAAATTATAGCACAATTCCTGGCGAACCTCAGAGGTTAAAAAGGTAGTTGTTCTATCATCGTCTGATCATTTTCCATGTTGCTTGGCAAATGTGGGTTGTAAGCTCACAGTGGGTCATGCCAGTCTCATTCAACATCTGTAAATGCCATGACCCATTCCCTGTGTCACATGTGGCACTGCATATCAAAGGGGTCCATACACAGAGCTTCTGTTTTCAAAGTGAGGACTAGACTCCTGCGGCTTTCATTCCTGTGGTTTGTTTACCAACTTTATTTTTCATCTTTTAGATAAGGGAAGTTAAGGGATATCATACAGAAAATGCTGCTAAAGAATGTGAAGAACTGAGAAATGTGGATATAATAAACATTTAGTATGTGAAACAATCGGAGGTAACGGGAGACAGCGCATTGGAAGGATAACTGTTGGAATTTTACACGTGAGAGTGGCTTCATTCAAAAAGTGGGATGGGATGGGATGGGAGAGACTGGGGACGCCTCTACCAGGCATTTTGAGTTATCATTTATTTTGAGGTGATTTTGGTCCCGGCAAAGGCCTCTGTTCAAAGGCTATAAGAAAAGGCTCTTCAGTCTTTGGTCCAAAGAACGTGTGTTCTCTCCAAGGCTGCCAGATTCCAGGTCTGGGAATGAATGGTGAGCCTTGGGGCAACCACGTGTCCTCAACTAGAGATGCATTCCTAGAGATTTGTGGTCTCTCCATCTGGGCTGCAGGTGATGGATTAGATCAGGGATGGGGAAAAGGCCCAAGAGGGGATCTGAGCCCCTGGGCTCAGCAGGGGATCTTGCTAGATTAGTATGAAGATGGCAGTCAGGACCAAGCAGGGGAATTCTCAAGTTGTCACTGCAGCACATATGGGTCAAGTGGGGAGCGGGTGGCGGGTGACGGACAGTCTGTGCAACAATGAAGGGGCACTTGTGCTTTTGAAAAAAGAGCTATAATAAAGTTCTTGAGCAGAGAAGGTCACAGAAACCATGCACAACCACACAGGCAAGAGCAAAGATGAGGGAAAAGGATGTTCATAAAGGAAGCTGGATACGTCTCATTACATTAGCTGTGAACCGCTCACAGGGAAAGTCAGCCCTCGACTCTGTGACTATGTGGAGTGAGGTTGAAATAAAGGCCACATATTTTATATCCTGAGTCAGAGTAGCTGATTTCAAGATGGTCAGCCTTAGAAGATCAGGCTGAAATCCTAGATCTATTTATTCTTAATTTCTTAAATACATTTGTATTATCTTGCCAGGGTTAAAAATTAGACTCTGCATTTGTGTGCCATCTAAAAAGGTAAGCATGCTTGAGAATCCAGTATACAGTACATGGTGGTCAATAGTATTCACCGACAGTCTTCTTACTCTTTGGGACAGAGATTGGGATGTTACATAGAACGCTTTGGTGGGGGACAATAGTAGAACATATCACGTCATTCATTCTCCCCTTTCCCTTGTAATATGCAGTAACTGTTTATGTTGTGCTGCTCCTATTCTAGTTGGAGACAGACATGTGAATCAATGAAAATCTCTGCGTCTGGAATAGACTTTAGGTTGGGATAGGAACTTGGAGACCATATTGAGGTGAAAGCCAGGAATAGAATTAGAAGAAAATGGAATTGAGGCTGAGAGCTAGGAAGTTATGCTTCAGCCTCTCCTTCCCCAGATAGCTTCGAAGATTCCATCTGGGACTCAGGCTACACCAACCTGAGGACAGAAAACCAGAGGGAACCTGAGATCCAGGAAGCATGCAACACTGGCCACCCTCTATGGAAACTTGTCACATTTCCCATTACTGCAACTTCTGGGTGACATGTAAGCTACTAAAGGAACTCCAGAGGAGCAGCTGAATTTCTGATGATAACTTGTTGCCCATGGTAGATTGCATTTGGAGGTATGTGATGTTCTGAATAATTGCCAGTTGCCTTGTGAAAAAATACAGGGTTCATCTCGACGAACAACTTACCCAATAGACAGGAGTGAAATGATGGCTGCATGAAATGAGACCCAAGATCATATGGGCTTTTGTGTTTTGTGCCTCTCTCTCTGGTTTGTGAGTTTCTTGTTGGCTATGTTGATTCTGCTTTATGAATAATGAAGGAAGGACCCACACCTTTTCTTTCTTGCTGCTCTGTGATATTTGTGGTGGTTTTCTTAACCTTTTGGTCCAAATCTGCTCACTGCTAGACTTTGCTTCTATCTAGAAGCAACGGCATAATGGAAGGGGTGAATGTGTTTTTTTCTCATTTGAACTAATAACCTGATGCCACACGTTTGTCATCATCTGTGCTTATGATTCATTCTAAGGGTCCCAGGAAAGGCCACTTTGTCCTGGCAAATTCAACATATAACTTAATCTCAAAGGGTCATTTCTTTGGTCATATCAATGCTTGTCAGCTTAATATACACATCAAGGCAGGCCCGCTTCTAGCGCTGCTCCACGTGGTTCCTCAGTCTTCTTTCTGCCATTACCACTCTTCAGACTTACCTCTGTCAGTAGGGTTTTGGTTTGCAGTTATATGTCTATATAAATCTGAACCTCTGGCAAAGTAGATTCTAACCATGTCTATTATATGACACAGAGTAGATGCTCAAAACTCCTGCCTCTGTTACGTGATTGGTGAATGAACGATGTCTATCAGATGTGTGACAAAATGTTACACAATTCCTGCATGAAAACAGACATTCAGCTGGACCTCCTTTTCCTACTGGAACAAGTTGAACATTTTCTCTTTGATTTCTTGGGGGGCTATTTATTTTAAAAGTTTTTCTTACTAAGCTCGAGGACCCTAAGCTAGACCTTACCTTACCTGGATGCTTCCTCCCTGAGGACTAGTTTTCTTTGTATCAGAAGGTGTCATGTAAGCTTCTAAAAGAGGGAAGCAGCCAACAGTCCTTTGTAGCTATGCTATGTTATTTCTACAACAGTGATTAGTATGGCATAATAACTCTAAGGGTGCGGTAGTGGCATATATACCTTGGTAGTAACCAATAGCTCTCTGATTGAACTTAAGACCTGCTCAACAAGAGGAAAATCATACCTTGTACTAGAAACCGAGCTAACTATGCAGGGTAGTGAAGTTATAGATCTTGGAGGAGAACCTACAACTGCCACTTTACTAAACCAGCATATTTTCCCCCTACATTATAAATATCTATCCTTATACCTACAGGTAGGTGTAGTCCTCACCCCTCATCAAAGACACTCAATTACCGAAAACCACGACCAATCATAATGCAGATTTCCGGAGGCCAGTCCCAATGGGAATGTCTGTGAAACAACTGCACGTAAGGCCCAGGGATAATTACAGATGAAAGGGATGAAATAGTGTAAGGGTTAGAGGATCAGGGAATTTGCTGTGAGATTGTGTCTCTTAGTGATGTCAGAAGGTATGCTCATAAAGGACAACAATAGACATGCCAACACAGAAAGTCCATTAGGCCTCCACTCTGTACAAACTATAATAGGCAATGGAGGAATATCAGGAGCAGGAGACAGTTTTCTCCAAGGGAGAACACATGAATTAGTTATCCAATACAAGTAACATTATGCAGACTGAGCAGATGGTACTTATGCATTTAGAATACACACACACTTACACAGACACAGACACAGACACAGACACAGACACAGACACAGACACACACACACACACACACACACACACACACACAAGCACTTAATAATAATTAATGAAAAAAGAAACCATGAATTTGAAAGAATAAGGAAGGGTATATGGAAGAATTTGGAGAGAGGAAAGAGAGAATTGATATAAATTATAATCTCAAAAAATAAATAATTCTTAAAAAGACTGTTCTCTTTATACAAGATTTACCGAGGGAATAAGTAAGCAGGAAGCCAGACCTCTGACATCCCCAATGACAAAGATCACATGATTTTCAGGCTTCTCTAAGCCTTCACTGTACTTCATGAGTAGGAGCTGGGCAGCTTTTTCTGACTAGGTTTTTACCATGTAGAAACAACCCCACCCCCCATACCCTGAGCCACATCAAAGCAGCCCTGGGAGCAGGGAGGAGTGTTATTGTGGCTTCTCACTTCAGGAAACAAGTATAATGATCCTATTCATGGCATTAACTGCAAAAAAAATATCATTAAGTCTTCGGATGCCTTATAATCATGGAGTAGGGAACTCATACTTTGGAGCTGTGTGTATGCCAGGTACTTGGCAACCACTGTTTCTTTTAATCTTCTCAAAGTGCTATGAGAACGTTAACTTGGTTCCCTCTGTTGTGGACAGAGATCATCTCAAGGAGATAAAACAATGTGCTCAGATAAGTGCTGGTTCAGGGTTTGAAACTAGGACCAGCCTGTCCCAACACGTGTGTTTCTTTCATCATGTCAAGGGGCCTTCACTATCGTTTTTGTCATCCATAGAAGTGTTTATGTGGCTTCATAAAACGATCTCCCTTGGCTTCAGAAATGATCATGTGAGTATGGGGATGTGAGTTTTGGTTGTATGTTGCAGATGAGTAACGGAATTTCATCAGCATGGATTAGATGACCTGTCTATATTGCACAGCTATGAAGTGGCTGCAGAACTAGGTCATTAAGTTGGGCTCTCTTCTTCTGTCTATTGCACTTTATGAAGAGACTCAGTAGTTGATATAAGCAGAGAAAGAAGATGTTTCTGTAGAGATCTCAGACCTCTCCATAAAGGACTCCAAAGAATGTGACCAACTAACTCATCTCTAATTTCCCAGAGTCATGTGCTTAGAATTCTCCTCAGGTTTGTATAAACAGGATCATTCTTTCCTACCACTGGTAAACTTTTCAGAATATCACAGAATCCAGTAATTTTCTTTCATGGTGTCATTGTATTATAGTAGCACTAGATTTATTAGGAGTAGTTCAGTCACCATTGATTTAAAGTTGTCCATTAGAAATATTGAATTGCAATGAATAATTCCAATAGCTTAGATTTGAATTTACTCTCAGCTCAGCTTTGTATTGTGTTTTGTTATTATAGATTCAAAGATGCCTTTTTCTCTAGTGGAGGTAGTTGCCAGTGGGTCTCAGTTTATTGTTTATAGACTTATATAGAGCACTCTCTAAAACATTAATTGTTCTTGTCTCAAGACCCTGATAGATCTGGGGAGAGGCCAAGACATTTTCCCACTAACAGTAGCAAAGGTGATATGTCTGTTGCTACTTCGTGGGCCATAGGTTGTACAGTCCCTGGTCACTCCAAAGGTTCCTAAGCCCAAGACAATTCGCTGGAGTGTAGGAAGAAAATAGAAATTGTAGATACATTGTTATATGGTCAAATTTTGTATTATAAAATAATATGCATAACAAATACATGGGGTGGAATATGTAGCCCAGTGGTAGAGCATTTGCCTAATGTGCACAAGACTGTGGCTTTGATTTTTAACTTGGAAAAAAATTTTATGCCTTTACTTAAATCTATACTACAAAAGCAGAGACACACAATGTGTGTAAACTGGGGTTGTTTGTCAAAAGGAGCTTGATGGAATTAAACAATCAACATTCCTCCCACAGAGCAGGGGTACCTCAGAATCACCTGTGTGTTTGAGGGGAATGGTGGTCTTATCTTTATGTAATGGTTTTCAAAGTATGATCCTACATTATCAGCATCAGATTCTCAAGCTCCAGCCTGAAGCTCTGAAGGCAAGGTTTTGCGGTAGGACTGGAAATCTACACTTTCACAATTCATCTCAGAGATTCTGGTGCATGACACAGGTTGGAAATGTGCTCTGTGAGCTCAAGGGGGATGTATGAATCTCTCTAGGAGTGGAAAATAGAAGAGACACCTTGAGTGGAGGAGGGGGAGGGAGGATGGGAGCAGGAAGGATCAAATAGGGGGGGAATGGGGGGGAGAGTACTGGGAGAGACAACTGGAATTGAGGGGCATCTTGGGGATGAGGTAGAAACCTAGAACAATGGAAATTCCCAGGAATCTACAAGGTTGACCCTAGCTAAGACTCCTAGCAATGTGAGATTGCTAGGCCATTTCTCTATAGCCAGGCAAGACTTCCAGTGGAAGGGACTGGGACACCAATCCAGCCACATAACCTTCATCCTACAATTTTTCCTGCCTACAAGATGTGCTGGGGTATAGGTAGCACAGAAATTGTGGGATTCATCAGCCAATGACTGGTCCAGCTTGAGATCCTTGCAATGATAGTGAGGCCACCCCTGACACTTCCTGGAGAGCCATGACCCAGTGGTTGCACAGCCCAGAGACCTAGGATAGGACCAAACATGACTGGGGAAAAAAAATCAATGAAGCAATTCCTAATGATATTCTGCTACACTTGTAGATTGGTGCCTTGCCCAATTGTCATCAGAGAGGCTTCATCCAGCAACTGACAGAAACAGATGCAGAGACCCACAGCCAAATATTAGGCAGACGTCTGGGAATCCTGCAAAAGAGGAGGAGAAATGATTGCAGGATCCAGTGGGCTTGAGGACACCACAAGAAAACCCACAGAATCAACTAACCTGGGCTCATAGGGGCTCACAGAGCCTGAACCAACAACCAGGGAGCCTGCATGGGACTGACCTAGCCCCTCTGCATATATGTGACAGTCATGTAGATTGGTCTTCTTGCGGGACTCCTAACAGTGGGAACAGGGGCTGTCTCTGACTCTCTTGCCAGCTGGTGGGACCCTTATCTTCATACTGGATTGCCTCATCTAGCCTCCAACTTGATATGCCATGTTTGGTTGTTATGCATGGGGGGCCGGTCCTCCTCTGAATAGAAATGGAGGAGGAGTGGATGGGAGGACAGATGGGGAGATGGGGGAGGGGCTGGGAGGAGAGGAAGAAGGGGAAACAGTGGTGGGGCTAATAAACAAACAAACAAACAAACAAATAAATAATTTTTTTTTTAAAAAGAAATGTGTTCTCTGAGGCGTCTTTAAGGAGATTTACAGTTAGGGATTCAACAGTGGCTTGCTCTTAACACATCTCTGGTTCTGACTTTCTAATTGCAGCTGTGCCTCTCTTAGAGCTTGGGTTTCCTGAGCAAACACACCCCTGGGGAATTTCTTCTGTCATAATGTGTGGCTACTTTCTTTGGACTGCAGTTTCTTTTAGTTTGCAGAATGTGTTGTGTTTTCTCACTTCAACTTTAGGCTTTTGCCCAGTAAAGTTTAAAGTTTAGATGGCCAGCAAATAATATTTTAGTAAGTCATATGATACATTATTTTGGATATACTTTCATTCAAATTCACCCAGTGCTCTCTGAAATCCCCATTTGCACTGTTCACCTTTGCTTTTCCTAGCCATGCACTGCTGTTGTTTAGAATCACCATTTCCTTTAAGTCTCTAAAGACCCACCAGGCTAACACGAGCACCTATGCTGTGTTTTGAACTTACAGAGGATACTGAAATTCTTTAACAGTTTGACAGCTTTCACTGCTAAACTGAAACGTTCTAAGGAGGGGAATGGGTTTGTCATGGGATCCTGGTACCTAGAAAAGTAATGTGTAGGCATTAAGATTTTTCTATGGAAATAAACACATGGCCCTTTACGAACCCCAGGATCTCCAGATCCCAGTTGCAGTGCTGGTGGGTGTCTCTGACACTGACTCCTCCTGTGATCCTCCTGCTTGGCATGCTCAGTGATTTGTTAGGGCAGCGGTGCCATGCTGCGGGAGGGACAGAGCTGATGGTGAGGCAGGAGTGGATTTTCCATTGTGTGCTCTGGACAGAATCTCAGATAAATATAGTTTTGACAGGTGAAAAGACAGAATCCTGATAATATGTTGACCATGAAGAGCCCATAGAGGCAACGGGGAAAATGGAGCTTTGTACATCATAAAGATGTACATAAAGAGCAATGAAAAGACTTAACTTTTGATTGTGAGTTCTGGATTTGTGGCTCACAGTTGGTTTATTTCTTCTCATCCATTTCTAATTCACTTCCATTTTCTTCATTCCTTTGTCCCAACTAGCAATAGACCCAATTCTCTGTTCCAGACAATCTGTTATTGTTTTGCATATATTGTTTTTAATTTCTACCAGTTAGGAGATTGCATTGTTCTTGCGTAGCTCCCTAGACAAGCCTGATTAGGATAGTGAGGGAATGAAGAAAGAACCAAGAGACACAGACATATAGACACACAGACAAGTGGGAGTCCGGTGTTCTCTGATGGAGAAACCGCAGCATCCTGGAAGTTCAGCATATTTACTATATACAATTGAATAGGAGGCAGATTTTTGCACACAGATAAACAAGGAGGCAGAGTTTATGGTAGACAGTTGGATCAAGGAGACAAGTTTAGCTAATCTTAGTAGGAGTGGTCTCTAGGGGTGCAGTTTTTGGGCCACAAACATCTGAGGGGTGAAAGCTATCATGGACATTTTTTACACACAGTATCAACATCCACATTTGGAGGAGAAGACTTTGCTATTCCTCTGAGCCTCATCCTGGATGTGGGGAGCCTTTGCCATTCCCATGTGGCTGAAGCTAGGCTCCTTGACATGCCCATGCCCATGTTAAAAGCACACATTCACTCAAGACTTCATTCACTCAGAACATCCTCGGC